CCTGGTGTCCCTTTGTGAGGTTCCATGGAATACAGTTTGAAAACCACTGCTTTAGCTGATAAGCTATAAACTTATCTCATAAGCATCATTTAAAAACCCTACTCATAATTTATAGCCTTAACTTATAGCAACTGTAAACCTACTCAGCAAACTACAGAATCAAAGTAGCAGTTGAAAGCCTACTGAAAAGGCTATAGGCTCAACAATTAGCAGTTGAAAGCATATTATAAGCTATATATTAAACAAGTTTTAGTTGAAAGCCTGTAAAATATTTCTTTCTATTTGCAAGTTAAACTACCTTCATGTTGTAATAAAGCATAAAAAATACAAGAAAAAGGTTTCTAAGGTTTACTGAATGTGATAAAACACTACATTGAATTACAAGTTTTTTTACATGTTTAAATTTTGTGGAAGAGTATTCAACCAAAAAGTACATACTAAAAACAAAAAGTCTCCAGTCAAATAAGATGTTTTATTACATACAGGGCTAAAGACTCTCTCTCTTTTGATGCAGTTACATGAGATGTTTCATTACATACAGGACTACAGACCCTCTTTGATAGCTATAGCATTCTACAATTTCAATCTATTATACAAGCATTATCTATATTTGAAGAAATCACAGCTTTTCAGTGGATTTTCTTTCTGAAAATTTTGTTTAATTGTACATTTCAAACATTGATTCAATTACTGTCAAGTACACAAAGCTCAGGTTGAAACATAATATTTTATACATACAATTATGGAGTACATAAACTTCAGCAACAGATGTATACAATGCAATTTGTGCAGGAAGGTTTGATTAAAAAGAAAAATGGCTTCCAGCATTTCCTCATATCATATACAGTGAAAACTGGGTGAAATTTCACATACACATGTTGCCTATCACAATTTTTCAAACTTTTATCAAGAAAAAAAATGTTTCATTAGTTTATGCATTAAATACTATCTTTGCTTGCATGTTTAAAAAATTTTCCCATATACAATACATGTGGAAACAATTTAAGTCTTCTAATAAATCACATAGCTACAGAAATTCAGCTGAAAATGTTTCACTAATAACAGCCATTAAACCTCAAATCATTAACAAGGTTTTATACAGTATTTGGGGACAGGGTATTGTAAAATAAAAAGGCTTAAAATCATTAACAAAGTTTTCATGCAGGATATGGATATGGGATTTGTGACTTTTAAGATAAAATGTATACATCTCATGCAATATTTAAAAACAACATCAAAGACAATCTGTTAAATAATATTCTGCCAGCTTTTTTGTTATATATATATATATAACAAAATGTATGTAATACCAATTTTGAACATTGTAGTTTGATTTCATTATTCCATGAGCAAGTTCATCAAAAAGTAATCGTTTCATAGAACTATAAATCATTTTCTTATTCTTTTTAAATGGTTTAGGAATTTTCTGAGTTTGTAAAGTTATTTATATAAAGCAATAGCATATACCTATAAACTCAAAGGTAAAAAAATTAAACTATAGTTGTACAGATTTTTTATAAATGAGGAGAAACTTCAACTGTTCAGTTTATAACATCTATGATTCTAGTGTCCATGATGAATATTTATGATGCAACAAATATACTCAATCACATACATATTTCTTTTTTATATGATAAACTCATTCAAATAATTTATAAGATTCTTTGTTGATCAGTAAACATACATACAAGTTTAATACATCTAGTAACAGGTGATTACATCGAGTGTTTTAAAAATGTTTCTTTTACACTTAGTATCATTAACCCATAAAGGCACTTTATAAAAATGAACCTGGTTCATTCTTTAAAGGCATTTCAGAGCTCTGATAAAAGTCTATTTACAGGTGTGATTTTTGTACACAGCATTTGATTTTCTTCTTTGAAAACAGCATCATAACCTTTATAAGAGTTTGTGCACCTACCTCAACCCTCTCATCCTCCAACAAACTAACAACCAGTTTTGTGATTTCCTCTACCCATTGAGGCTGGTGCATCACCATGAAGAGGTTGGAAAATACCATGACCTGTAGGTAAGACAAGGCTGCAACCCGAGCATGCCAAGAATTGCTCTCACGAACCTAAGATTAATAAACAAATTGGAATTGTAAAACTCCATTACACCAATAATCTGATATTGTAACTATTTACATTTGATGGAGTAATATTTAGTCAACATAACAAAAAAAGGCTTGTTTAAAACCATAAAATGCTTTTTATCACAGTTATCTAAATACCAAAACAACACAATACTGCTTAACTACCAAAACAATTTGACAAGAAACTTGCAATACTGTTTAATTACACAAAAAATTAAAAACAAGAATATATTACTTAAGTACAAAAAAAAAGTACAAACGGTTGATTCCTTACACTTGATATTGTGTGAGTAACAGTGATTTTTTTTTTATTATTTGGTAACTATTCTTTCAATTGGGATGTTTGTGTAAAAGGTTTATGCACTTCTAAGTAACACAAGTTTGTTTAATATTTTATGGTAAATCATTACACAAGTGTAAAGAATGGGACAACTTATGTGAACTGTAGCAACTTCAGATGGTTGTGTAGACTAAAATATATATATAAACATTACAGAACTTTTTTCTACATCTAGCACAACTGTTATGGTGGCAGTGTTAAGGACTGAAAGAAATGACCCTGTCTGACAACATAATATAAAATCTACTTTTAATGATAACTATGTCTAAAATTTATTGGTAATTATTATTATCACTGATTTTTATTTTACTACAGTGATTATTCTACATAATAATAATTTCAATTTTATCATCTCTTTTTTATAAAGTTGATAATAAATATTATTTCACATTGTTAGCTTAGTTGATAGATTTAGTACCAACTTAAATCTACTAAGTTGGCAAGTATAACTTTTACAATGGTGTGTTAGTTCTTACCAAGGTCATTGGTCTTAACAAGTGAAACTTTTACAACAGTGTGGACACTGGTTAGAGAATTTAATATTTCTACTTTTATGTTCTATTATTTCCAAGTTTTATAATGATTTTTCTGCACTGTTAGCTTAGTGTATGAACTTAGGACTAACCTATGCCTCCAGGGCTAGCTGAATCTTGTGAGATATTGGGTTTATGGTTGAAACTATCGTTAACAACAAAGGTACCCAACTGATGAAACAATGCATTATAATCATTATAAGTTATATAATTTGATATTTAGTTCAGAACTATTTGGTAGCTTGATTCAATAAGAAGTTAGCATTGATAATTTATCCCTAAATATATTTAGCATATAACTATTAGAACTATCAACAATATAACAACTTTTTTAAAAGAGAATGATTACAACATCTTTCCTTCCATTTGGTAGGTACACAACACACAAATCATGAGAAAAAGCTGTTGACATTAAAACAACTTTTCAAAATGATTTTGAAAGACAATGTTTTTATTTTATCTGGCAATTTTAAAGGAACTAACAAATAACTGGTAATTGTATCAAACGTGGGACTGCTACTAATAATAGCATTATTATTATCTAAAATTAACTATAACTGTGTCATAATTACTTAATGCATTAAATGTTAATAAATATGTATATATCCCATTATTTTATCATTTACAGGTTACCTGATAAATCTTTTGTGTCATCTTTTTTTTTCAAATATCAAAACTCTTTTTAATTATGTTTTTATTTTAACTACTTCACAAAAGCTAAAAGATGCCTAGCTCAACAAAGTCTACAGTAAATGCCAAAAGAAACCAACAGATATAACATTTGTGTTAGTCATGGGCATATTAAGGAAAATGAAGAAAAAACATCTGTAGTTGATGTGATTTTATTGATACACTAGCACAAGCATTATCATCAGAGAAAAATTCTTGATATCTTTTTTCTTTTGAAACAAAAAATCAAGCATAGTGGTTCAAGGAAGTAAGTCTGTCAAGTGAATTTGTAAAGTGTCCTCAATCTGTTGTAGTAATATTTAACCATTTTCCTGCCAAAATTATCATGTGAAAAATTGATGTATTTTGACTATCATATGCTTTTCCTTTATGTTTGAGATTAATTATTGATACCACTTTAACTATCTAGGAGTAATGTTTCATGGCAAGCCTTTATCAGAATTATTTATTAATTTTTGTAAGAGTTATGATTCTACAAAGTATCAAAATGATAGGCTTAACAACTTTCCAACTGACATCCTCTTATGATTTAATGTAAAATACATTAAAAAATTATGCATCAGTTATAAAAAGACATTCTACTGATGTGTACAACACTTATAACAAGTTAACTTGAGTGGGAAAAAAGAAGTCATTGGAATGTTAGGAACTTTGTTTAGAAAGTTACAAAGACATAAAGAAATGAAACTGCTTTAGAATTATCTCATCACTAAACTAAATTATGTTGTTACTTGTTTTGTGAGTCTATGGATCAGTTAGTGGAAATAAATGAAAAAACACCTTGTGCCTGATTTATATTATGGCAATGCAAAGATCTCACATGACTGGTTGCTCTGGACGTTTATGTGTAAAGACAAGTATGATGAATGGTTAGTAAATGTCATTTTCTTGTGAGTGTTGAGATGTAAACTTTTAGCATTTTGTTTCATAAACATCATGTTATATGCATGGCCGTTTCGGTAACTATTTGCACTGTTGTTCCCAGTGTTCCCATGAAGGAACTTATTAATAACTTTACATGATAATAAGGTAAATGTATCAAAAATAATTGAAAATAAGCATGGTTCCTCAAAGTGGAGCTACGAGTGGTAGGAAAAAAAAGGTTAAATTAAGATTATGGTTGAGTAACAAATGGGGAAATTTTGTTGGTTTATGTATCTTTCTAAACCTAAAGTAAGATAGGAAGAACAATTATACAAGATGTAAAATATCAGTTGGTAAATATACATGAGTATTGGGGTATCATAATTCAACAATACAAAATCCTTTAAACATTATAGCATATATATAAACACTTTGACTAATTATGTGACAAGAAAATCAATACTACTTCATAATAAACTCCCTTACTAAAATAATAATGTAATTATAGATAGCAGAGAAGTTATATTTTTTCTTTGATTGTAAGTAGAAGATGCAACCACACAAATAGAAAGAAACATGTGCAAAGTGCTAACCTTTATGATGCATATATTTTATACCTCAAGTTGCCATATTTTTCATGCCTTGTCAAAATATGGTGTGTTGGGCAAGGAATAACTTAAGGTGAATAGAACAATTTTATAAACTTATAGTTTACAAACTTGATACTGGTTTAGAATGTAGATTCTCAATAAGTTGTATTCTTCAATATTATGCTTGAATCAAAATAGTACCAAATTACAATGAAGTAATTATTTTCTTTCTTCAACTATTGTTTGTTACCTTCATAATTTCTAAATATGGTAAGGATATAAAGTTCTTTCTATTCTCAGTCACTCATACGAGTAAAGGACTAACTGCTTAGACACTTAAATAATTTGAATAACATAATAGTATTATGAAAAGCTAATGTAAGAGATGAGTCAAGAAGCCTCATGTTACTTAATGATAACAGAAGACATGCAGAAAACTCTATTGTCCTTAAACATTGACAAAAGAACACTAAAAGTACAAAGGAAACTAATTTCCTACCTGTTTCATAGTACTGATAGCAGCTTCCAACACTTCTAGTTGCAAAACTGCTTGGCCCATCACTGCTAGTGCAACTGTACACTCTTTTTGTAACTCATCATCAGTGGTATCGCTCTGCATTATGCACAGCTGAAAAATAAGTACATTACAATAGTTTTCTTACATCAAATTCAAAACAATAGAATAAGTGTATCAAAAACAAATATAGTATGCTATTATTTTTAATATTACAACTTCAAAATTACCACAAATATAAAAGTTGGTTCTAAAACTCTTACAATGCATTAGCAATCGACATGTTCGAAGGAAAATGAAGTTTGATTATAATCAAGATTACGACACTTATGATATATAACATTGTTTATTGACAAAAAGGGGACATGGATAAACGTTTCAGAATTCTATCAGGTTCCATCTTCAGTATCTAAAGCAGAATAAAATGAATTTACATCAGTCTTTATACATTTTCAATCAAATTTCTCTATTCTCTGCAAGTCTAACACTGACCTGGAATTATTGATCAAAGAAACCCTCCAC